CAGTAGCTCAGAGAGGAATTTAACGGTTTTTAAATTATAGTTTTGGATGCTTCTAAATTAGTCTCAGAACCTGGGTAGGGCTAGCCTGACTGCTCAAATATATCCACTTCAAGTGGGAATGTTTTGCAGGTTGGCTGCTATATGGAGATAAAAAAATTCACACACATATGTAAAGTATGCATTTCTGTGTCATCTCAATTTGCGGCTGTCTATATACTACATGGTACATCTATGACTAAATAAGAAGAAATTCAGAAAACACTGACTCAGTGCCAGCTTGAATTATAGACTCCAAGTTAAGTCAGAGTTTAAAACTCAAAACAAAGTGTCTTGGACCAAACCCTCTTTTTACTTAGTAGTTGAGGGTTTGTATATGTTTCTTTAACTACTTATATCCCCTCAAAATCTGTACTCTGACAAGTCTTCAGAATTTGGTGCCAAAATTTGAATTTATGATGGTTTACTTTTATGTATCAGGTGAAATGAAAAAACTCAACCGTTCTATATTAGTATAGCCTAAAGCAGTGAAGAAACACTCGATTTAGCTTTTCTTCACATAGTGGTACCCTGTAGTTATTCAGGTATTTAATCAGTCTTACAAAGTTACACATTAAAAAGAAAGAAAATTTAAAAGGCTTCTGCATTTGTTTTATACCCTTCCTACTATATATCCGAGGTCCTTTGATATAGCTGCCAACAGAGATTTCTTTGAGAAGGAACACATACTGTCCTCTTGAGGATAAACTATGTTAATTGAAAGGACCACCTGCTGCCTATGGCTGAGCTGAAGAGAGAGGATGTTTACATAGTAGTTATTTTTCTAACCTCATCTAACTCTATCTCAACTTTTTGTTGCTGTTGTTCTATATTTTTGGCTTTTCCCTATCTCTTCCAAAGAGGGGTGAAAATGGGGGAGGCTCGAAGTAAGCTGGGAAGTCAAAGGTACTGAAAATCTATGAAAGAAAAGGATATCCAGCATGTAAATATTACCTTTCAGGTTATTTCTAAATCATCTCTATGTCCTTCTGCTTAGTTTTCTTTCAAATTCAATTATCATCATCATTTCTGTCACCTACCATGTCCCAGGTCTATATTAATCACTGTAGATGTTTGAAAAAATGAGACAGGACCCCTCCCCCAGGGCACTCATCATTATGTGAGAGTGTACAGGTAAGCAGTCATTACAACATAGTAAGTCACTGAAGACGCGCAACATTAAAGCTCAGCTGGGCTTCCCTGGTGGCGCCGTGGTTGGGAGCCCGCCTGCCGATGCGGGGCACGCGGGTTTGTGCCTCTGTTTGGGAGGATCACGCATGCCGCGCAGCGGCTGGGCCCGTGAGCCGTGGCCGCTGAGTCTGCGCGTCCGGAGCCTGTGCTCTGCAGCGGGAGCGGCCACAGCGGTGAGAGGCCCGCGTACCGCAAACAAACAAACAAACAAACAAAAAAACCTCAGCTGTATTCCCATAGCTTTGAAAATATTCTATAGTCAGAGGTAAAATGAGTATTTCAACCCACTACTAAGAATTAAAAATTCTCAGTGATTCCACACTTTTTCCTGTGTATATGTAAATAAAGCTACGTATTCATGAGTTGGGGGAACACCAAGACCACACCCAACTTCTATGATTTGTTAGGAGAACTCACAGGACTCAGCAGACAGTCGTACTCATGGCTAAGATTTATTACAGTGAAAAGGTATAGAGCAAGATCAACAAAGGCAGAAGGTTCATGGTACAAAGTTGGAGAGAAACCAGGCACAAGCTTCCTGGGGCCCTCTCCTGGTGCAGTCACAAAGGCCCTGTTTAATTCCCCAGAAATGAGATGTGAAATGTTGTCCACCAGGGGAGCTCTTTAGAGACGCGTCGTCCAGGCTTTTTAACGGGGGCTGGTCACACAGGCAGGCTTTAACTAGTACATCCTAAAATTTCAGACTCCCAGAAGGAAAGCAAGTGCTTAGAGCACAAACCACTTTGTTTGAGCAAAGAGTTAAGGCATAGTGACCCCTCTTATCTGTTGGGAATAGCGCGAACTCTCCTGAAGTCTAAGTTCCTCTGTGCCCACCGACAGCCAACCTTGTAAGCAGGACTTTCAAAGGATTACAGTTGGGCCTGCTAAAGATAACTTTCTTACACAATTCACATATACATTTTGTACAAAATGCTCTGTTTCTATACATTCTGCTGCTGTCTGTATGCAACTTTTCTTTTAAAGATAATACTATCGTGAACATCTTTCTATGCCGATTCATGTAGGTCTACTTACTTCTTTGTCATAGTTACACGGTCTTCCATTTATAGACAAACAATTTCTTTAAACATTCCTGTATAGATTGATACTTGGTTTGTTTTCAGTTTTTGGTATTACAAATTATGACGCAGTGAACATCATTGTACATATATTCTTCATGTATCCATGCCTATTGTTTTTGTTACATAGGCTTCCAGTTTCTGCGATGTAAGCATCTAGAAATGGGATTCCTGATGTCATTCAATTTGGAAAGGAAGATCATTGTGTTGGAATTCTACTGGAAGTATTAGAATGTAGAGAGTTTTCTTGGAAAAGAGGACAGTTAGAAGACTATTAAAATAGCCAGGTGATAGTTGATTAGGGTCCCAACTAAACTGTGTCAGGGAGCTTGGAGAGGAGTAGAAATGGTGCAGATTTAGTGAGAAGGCAACACAACAGCCCCTGATTGTGGATGGCTAGTGGAGAGTGAGAAAGGGAGAGTTAAAAGTGACTCCCAGTTACATCATCTGGTGGATGGCAACGAGGTGGAATGCAAGAAGATAGAGCGATTAGGAAGCAATTATAACAATTCAGGGAAGAAGTGATGGGGGTTCAGGTTTTCAAATGTTCATTCATTCACACTTACTGAGAATCTTGCTATGTACCAGCCACTCATTAGCTGTTAGCATTGGTGCAATTTTTTTTTTTTTTTGCCAAAAACGTTGAGATAGACATCTGATGCAATATAGATTTCAATTAATTTGGTCATTAATTAACTTCATTGCTATTCTTTTGTGAATGGTACAATGCTTAAAGCTATAGAGAGTGATGGTGAATCAGGTCCTAGATGCTTGAAAAATCTGCACACTCTTTAGAGTAAAAATATGAGGAGGGAGGGGAAAAGGAATTATGAAAGCAAATAAGATCTCTCTTGTGTCTAGGTTTGAAGACAGACTGCCTCCCACACACTCGTTTCAAATACCCTTAGCAAGTGTGAGCAGGAAATCTTCCTCCCTCTGCCTGCAGAGAACTTTCTCTCCTGCACAGTTCTGAGTATCACTTGTGTGGGCCTCAAGTGTGGTGTGAAAGAGAGAAGCCAGGAAGCAGTTCTTTTTATTCTTTTCACTGAGTTGCTGTTCCCTTCAAATTTGCCCCTCCTCCCTATCCCATGAACCTAAAATGCAGCTTCCCATCTCCTGAAGCCCAGACACATATAAATCGTAATTTGCATGACAAGGGGAGTTTTACTTTTTTATGCATCCTTCAATAGAAATTGACATGCTTTAATGCATTTTATTTCACAACTTGTTTGAATTTATACTGGAATCTGCTTTCTGATTAATTTTATTTGGCTAGGCAGAAAAGTCTCATTCTGCATTCATTTGCACCCAATACACGTAAGGAATGTGATCTGACACATTTTTTTTGAATTTTATTTTATTTATTTTTTTATACAGTAGGTTCTTATTAGTTATCCCTTTTATACATATTAGTGTATAAATATCAATCCCAATCTCCCAATTCATCATACCACCACCACTTTCCCCCCTTGGTGTCCATATGTTTGTTCTCTACATCTGTGTCTCTATTTCTGCCCTGCAAAACAGTTCATCTGTACCATTTTTCTAGATTTCACTTATATGCGTTAATATATGATACTTGTTTTTATCTTTCTGACTTACTTCACTCTGTATGACAGTCTCTAGATCCATCCACGTCTCTACAAATGACCCAATTTTGTTCCTTTTTATGGCTGAGTAATATTCCATTGTATATATGTACCACATCTTCTTTATCCATCCATCTGTCGATGGGCATTTAGGTTGCTTCCATGACCCGGCTATTGTAAATAGTGCTGCAATGAACATTGGGGTGCATGTGTCTTTTTGAACTATGGTTTTCTCTGGGTATATGCCCAGTAGTGGGATTGCTGGGTCATATGGTAATTCTATTTTTACTTTTTTAAGGGACCTCCAAACTGTTCTCCATAGTGGCTGTATCAATTTACATTCCCACCAAAAAAAATTTTTTTCATAGTCTCTGAAGCTCATATGAGGAGGGGTAGGGGTCACATCTTTTTTCTTCCTACAGACTTAAGTCTCTTTATCCTTTTTAAAATTCCTGTAAAAAGTCAAGTTCCATTCTCCAAAGAAGATACACAAATGTCTAATAAGCACACGAACAGATGTTCATCACTAATCATTAGGGAAATGCAAATAAAAATGAGATGCCACTTCACACCCAATAGGATGGCTATTATTGAAAAAAAAAGTAAATAACAGGTATTAAAGAGGATGTAGAGAAACTGGAAACTTTGTGCATTGCTGGTGGGAATGTAAAATGATATAGGCACTGTGGAAAACAATATGGTGGTTCTTCAAAAAATTAAATCTAGAATCACTATGTCATCCGACAATTCTACTTCTAGGTAGAATTTTTCTACCCAAAAGAGTTGAAAGCAGGGGTTGAACAGATATTTGTACACCAATGTTCATAGCAGCATTATTTGCAATAGCCACAAGGTAGCAGCAACCCAAGTGTCCATTGACAGAGAAATAAACAAAATGTGGTACGTATTTACATACAATGGAATATTAGTCAGCCTTAAAAAGGGACAGCATTCTGACACACGTGCTACAACATGGATGAACCTTGAAGACACTATGATAAGTGGCATAAGCCAGACACAAAAGAACAAATATTGTGTGATTCCACTTACCTAAGGTCCCTAGAGGAGACAAATTCATAGACACACAAGGTAAAATGATGGTAGCTAGGGGCTGGGGTAGGGGGAATGGAGAGTTATTGTGAAACGATATGGAGTTTCAGTTTAGAAAGATGTAGACGTTCTGGAGGTGGATGGTGGTGGTGGCTGTATAACAATGTGAATGTGCTTGGTGCCACTCAACTGTGCCCTCGAAAATAATTAAAATGGTCAATTCCGTGTTGTGTGTATTTTACCACAACTCTAAAAATGAAAAAAAGAATCAAGCTATAAGTTGCTGCCTGGGCAAACCTGTATTTTTCTCCACTGATACTTTTTCCTCACTTTGAGGGATTCTCTCTCATTTCCGCATCTTTCATCCCAGCTTCCTCTCTCTGCCCTACTGCATTTTGCACTCTTCCCCATTTACAAAACTTTCTCTAAAGACAGACTCTGATATAATCAATGATACCCTGTAGGTGTTTGAGCCAATATTATAGCTTTCCCGGGTATATTTTCATTTTAAGGATTATCTCTAATGGAAAACACAAGGCTGTATTTCGTGGTGAAGATGGCCTTCTGCGCCCCCGAAAATCTCTGTACCTTGGCCCCTGTGCCTCTGTAGAGGACTGATGTACTGGTTAGGGAATCAGTCAGGAAAAGGAAAGTGACTGTAGGTATTCCAAACAGAGAGCGATTTAATACAGGGTGTGACGTTTCCAAGTTGTCGGCAGGGAAGGAGCAAAACCGGGTGTGGGAAAGTGGTGCTAGCCAGAGATCCCGCACTGCAGTCAGTCCCTGTGGCCCTGTAGGAACCTACTTGCCTCTGAGCCCGAGGGACTCACAGCCCTGCGGCCCTTCTCAAGCCAGCAGGAACCAGCCGCTGCCCTGCAGGAGGTATTAGACCGACAGCTGCCTCCCAGGCTGGAGCCAGAAAAAGAATCTCTCTCTCTACCTCCTGCTCTCATGCAAAAGCCTCCCAAGGGCAGCATCTAAATTGGAACTCTGCTGGCAGGGGGGTCTAAGAAATATAGTTTACAGGCTTCTAGCCCTTGTGGTTTGGGGAGCACAGAGAGGTAGGTGCTGAGCATAGCAGGCAGCATGTCACCCAGACCGGTGTTGTGGGGGGAGTTGAAACGAGCACCTCCGCACAGACAGGCTGATCTCTGCAGGATGAGACATCCTCGGACTCGCATGTCAGACAGGCCTGTCTTGCAGCTCTGGGATCATGAGCAATAATAGCAAGAACCATTTACCGGGCCGTTCAGGAAGCAGAGCGTTCTGTGAAGGGCTTTAAACCTCACACCAACAAGCCTGTAGGTAGGTGTCATAAGTCCTGTTTTACAGATAAAAAAATTAGAGTCAGGGGGACAGGTCACATGGTCACTGAATGGGGGAGCTGGGTTTCAAACCCAGGTCTGAGTTACTTTTCTCTCGGGCTGAAGTCTGAGCTTCCATTTCCAACTCACAGTCCTGCTGGGGATTTGATGAGACCCTGGAAATACACCTCTGGTTTTATGTTTCATCCCTCATCCCCAGAAGGGTGGCATTCACCTCTGGCCACTGGCCCCTGCTCTCAGCCAACACCCCTGTGGTAAGCGTGGCTGTGTGGTCACCCTCCCTCTGAAACTCTGCGTGGTGGTCTGCACAGAGTGGGTGTCGGTCAATTCCACGGCTGTTTTTTTTTTTTTTAATTTTTTTTAACGTCTTTATTGGAGTATAATTGCTTTCCAGTGGTGTGTTAGTTTCTGCTTTATAGCAAAGTGGATCAGCTATAAGTACACATATATCCTCATATCTCTTCCCTCTTGCATCTCCCTCCCACCCTCCCTATCCCACCCCTCTAGGTGGTCACAAAGCACCGAGCTGATCTCCCTGCGCCATGCGGCTGCTTCCCACTAGCTATCTATTTTACGTTTGGTAGTGTATATATGTCCATGCCACTCTCTCACTTTGTCCCAGCTTACCCTTCCCCCTCCCCGTGTCCTCAAGTCCATTCTCTAGTAGGTCTGCGTCTATTCCCGTCCTGCCCCTAGCTTCTTCATGACCATTTTTTTTTTTTTTAGATTCCATATATATGTTTCAGCATATGGTTCCACGGCTGTTTTGTTCTGGCAAATGGACCCAGTCTTGGACTTTCCCTGAAGAGGGAAGTCAGCAGACTAGGAGGTATTTCTGCTGCTGGGAAATTTTTCCCATTACAGCCTGCATTAGTTTCCAATGGTTGCTGTAATAAATTACCGCGAACTTGGTGACTTGAAACAATGGAAGTGTATTCTCTCACGGGTCTGGAGGCCAGCAGTCTGAAATCGAGGCATCAGCAGGGCTGAGCTCCCTCCAGAGGCCCTGGGGGTGAATCCGTCCTCACCTCCTGCAGGTATTGGTGACTCCAGACCTTCCTTCTCATAAGGCCACGTGACTCTAACCTCTACCTCTGTCTTCACACTGACCTCTCTTCTTTGCATCCATTTACTGTCCCTCTTCCTCATTCTCTTAAGGAGACTTGTGATGGCATTTAGGGCCCACCAGGATAATCCAGGATGATCTCCTCATCTCAAGGCCCTTAACTTAACCTTCTCCACAAGGACCATTTCCTGCATAAGGTGATACTGACAGGTTCCATGGCTTAGGATGTGGTCATATCTTTGGGGGCACCATTCAGTCCACTTCACCTCCCTCCCAGGGGAGGAGGGACATTGCAAAGAGGAGCTTTCTGCTTCCACCTCACAGGAGCACATCCCGGGATCCGGGCCTTGTCTCCTTCATTCTGCAGTAACGTCCTCTAGTACCTTTCTGGTAGTGCTATAGAAAAAAGTCAGAAACCTTGAGGCACATATCAAACAGGTGGATACAGCTTTGTGGTCACCTTTAGTTGAGCACCGTTAATAGACAGGCCGGGTAACACTCCCAGGAGTTCCCTGGTCTCCTCCTTTACGGTCCTCACCTCAAAGAAACTGCCCAAATTAGCCTTTCTCATTTCTGGCTTTCTGCTCTCAACAAAAAAAGAGCAAGAGAAGGCTTTCCAACTAACTTATTGCCCTCTGGTTTCTTCTTTCTGGACCTTATTTCACAAAAATGCCTCTTCAGTACCCCCGCCTCGATTTCTCAGTCGAGTCCTGTGAATCCTTTGCATGAGAATGGCATCCAAACTTCCTGTTTCCTTCCTCCCAAATCTCCACCCATCCTCCCCCCACGCCCCCAATTCACCACGTTTTCACTTCTCACTGTCTTCCCGGGCTGCCATGAATGATGACAGCTCAATGACATGCTCCTGGCCCAGGAAGAAAGGGGGGAATTACCCTTGATTCCCACGCAGATTTGGGAGAAGGGGTTTCCACTGTCTGAAACCTCAGTGGGAAGGTGAGTGGCTATCTGCACCTGGGGAAGATGCCCATGTCAGCAGACTCACCTCCACCGCTGGTGTTGATTCGGGGCAGAGCAGGACTTGCAGGTTGTCACCCAAGTTGACTCCGCATCTGAGGCGGGTGTTCCTCACAGCCCTGTTCACCATTGGTGGAGGTTCTCATTCCCTTTATCCTGGGGGCCTGGCCTTCCAAGCCTCATCCATCCTCTAAAGGCCATCTGAAGAGCTTCCATTCGTACAAAACGTCCAGTTATGTAGAACTGCCCGCAGAGTCTTATTTGATCCTGAAAACAAACCAGTGACACAGCTGGCTGCCTGGCCCTGACCTCATTGCACAGATGAAGAGTCTGTGGTGATAGGACTTGTCCCAAGTCACCAGGCTGCATGTGGCAGAGCTGGGAGCCCAGAGCAGGAACTTGGCTGTGAAGGTGGTTTGCTTTCTGCTTCTGGCCTTTTCCTCTTATTCTTTTTTCCCTATCTTTTTTCTTCTTTCTCTTTTCATCTTCTCTATGTCCCTGACTCAGTTCCTTACTCTTTATCTTCCTCTCTATTCTAATTATTTCTGTCACTGTCCCAGACCTGAATTTCTATACTAGCTTCACAACTACAAACTGTGTGACTCTGGGCACATTTCTTACTCAGAGGTTCAGTCTCCTCAGCTGAGCACAGCGATAATACTGACTTCCTTCCACACAGGGCTATGGTGGAAGTAAGATTATTTATACATAGAGAGAGAGAGGGAGAGAAAGAGATGAGAGAGAGAGAAATAGAGAGAGGAAGGAAGGAAGGAAGAAAGAAAGAAGGGAAGAAGGGAAGAAAGAAGGAAAGTCTTTGGCACTTGGTTGGCATTAAGCAGACATTTCCTTCCTCCACTTTTTAAATTTTGTGGACACGTGGCTAAGACTGTACACTTCTGTCCCCCATTCACCTGTGTCATCCTTATCATAGAACTGTTGGATTTGATTTATCAGGAGACCCTGGCTGTGCCTCTGTGACTATGAACCGTGGCCAAATGGGAAGAGCCTGATGGATGTGGCCGGCTTGATTAATAACAGCCTGTCTCCAGAGCTCTGAGAATGGCAAGTGACGCGTTGCCCTGATTCCACTTCTAATTCTCTGTTGTCACACACGGTGGTTTGGCCAAGCAGAGGCCCTGTGTCCACAGCACAGTGTCTAGCTGCAAGCCTTGGATCTCCTGGGTCACCAAAACTGATTCTCTGAGTGGAAAAGAAAAGCTTCTGGGGCAGTGGTACATATCCAGAGCAGAGGGCGTGTGCATGGCTGCACTTCTCTCTCTGACGGGACGTTGTGAGCCAGACAGGTGCAGCAAAGACCCACCTGTGCAGGTATCACCCCCCTTCCTGCAATGCTGTTATCTGGTGCTTTCCCAGGGAGAAATTCATCAGCAGGACAATACGCCTAGGAATGGAAGTGCCCAGAAGAAAGATGTGTCTCACTTTCAGATGTTCTGCTGACCTTCATCCATCCTCTGCAAATATGAAGTCATTGTTTTGGAAGCCACGCACTTACCTCCTATTCCGCAGCTCTCCAACTGCCCTAGCATGAGGAGCTTTAAACAGAAAGAAGCTTGCGTTGTATCACTGTTACCTACTAAAGTGAGGATTTTCTCTCCCCACCTTCCTGTCTTGAACATTGCTGTCGGGGGTTGGCAATTAATCTTGCAGCAGAGCATTCGCTGATTCCATTCAAGGGGAAAGCAACAGTGAACATGGCTTATTCTTGCCAAGCCAGTGATCTATTTCTTAAGCAATTCTTCTGGGACTGACATCTGTCAGGAATGGGGAAGCTGGGGTCCCGGGCTGTTCCTGATCTCAGCCTAGCCCTGGAGTTGGAGAAAACCTCGCAGTTCCTATTCGAAATGATACACTTGGACGGTGTTTCTCTTGGCTTCAACTATAAAGGCTGGTGCCCAGAGCTAATCTTTGGCAAAACAGAGAAGTTTGAAGTTTTTTTTTCCCCCTCGAACATTCCCAGTATTCCTCTCAAACACTTTTCTCTTTAGTCCTCTTTGAGTTCCCCAGGATTTCTTTCTTCCTGTACAGCATCCACATGTGAGGTCTGGAAGGATCTGAGACGTATTTTCCATGTGTGTAAGTGGTCGTTAGTGTCTAGAACAGTGCTTCACAGCTTTCAAGTGTTATGCATCTCCGGCAGTGCTAAGATGCAGGTTCCGGTTCAGCAGCCTCAGAGTAAGGGCTGAGACTCTGCAGTCCTAATAAGCTCCCAGGTGATGCTGCTGTGGCTGGTCTGTGGACCGCATTTTGCACTGTGGGTTGAAAATGCCTCCAGCCCTCCTCCTGTGTTTCTCCTTTACCCTCACACTACTACTACCACACTCACAACACTTCTGACACCAGATGTGTGGGTTTTCCCCACACCAAGCCATTCTGCCACGCCAGCTGGGTGTCCTACAATTTAACTCAATTCTGACACTGTCTACCTGGAGATAGCATCAGATCCCCCTGGCTAAGAGCCCGCTTCCATAAGACTCCTCTCCAGCCCCAACGTCAGAGTCAGATCACAAGTAGTAGGTCTCCAGGTTACCCACAACTTCTGTCCAACTTGGCTACAAATTGAAGGTTCCCATGACCTCCTCCCCCTTGGATTCAATATTTTCACAAGTAGCTCACAGAACTCAGGGAAACACTTACTATGCTTATCAGTTTACTAAAAGATATGGATGAACAGTCAGATGAAGAGATACATAGGACAAGATACGTGGGAGGGTGCAGAGCATGGGACCTTCTGTCCCCATGGAGTTGGGTGCATCACCCTCCTGGTGTGTGGATGTGTTCACCAGCCTAGAAGCTCCCTGAACCCCATACTTTGGGGCTTTTTATGGAGGCTTCATCACGTCGGCATAATCAGTTATTAACTCCATTTCCAGCTCCTCTCCCCTCTCTGGAGATTACGGGGTGGGGCTGAAGATTCCAAGCTTCTGAGCACGGCTGCGTCTTTCTGGTGACCAGTGTCATCTGGGAGCCCACCCAGTCTCCTCACTGGAACAAAAGGTGCTCCTAATGCTTTTATACTTCAGCATTTATGAGAGTTTCAGGAGCTCTGTGTCAGGAACTGGGGTGGGGGACAGGGGAGACCAATATATATATTTCTTACTATTTCACAAGTTGCAAAGCCTTAAAGCAATCCTAAAGTGAGCAAATGGGAATAAGAAAGGTCCCTCCTTTTCTCTCTTGTTTAGGGAAGCGTGTGTGTGTGTGTGTGTGTGTGTGTGTGTGTGTATGTGGTTTCTCCCCACATTTCCTAGTGACTAGCTTTATCCTTGTGCTGTCTTCAGATCCTGCATAATTATTCGTTTGCTTGATCAAAATTTTAAATGTTCTCATTGATGCATAACCATGAATACAACTTTCAAATTTTTACCTGTAGAAATTCATCTTCTCTCAAAATACCCTGATCTCTCATTTCAGTAAAAATCAATCAGTTTAAATTGAGTTACTTACAACTTTTTGTCTACTGTGTGTTTAAAGGCAAGGGTGACTAGAGAGGAGTCCAGACATGGGGCCAGAGGAGATGGCCCTGCTTATGTCTAAGCCTTAGCCACCGCTGGGAGTCTACACACCCAGGGGACTGCCGGAAGAAATGATTTGAGTGAGAAATTGAAGAGCCAGCAGATGGGAACTCATCACTGAGGGCAGAACCCAGCCAATTCACCAGACCCAGGGCCAAAGCTTTAGGTCTCAGTAACACAGATGGGTCTTCATCCCAGCCTTCTACTGACTCAATATTCAGGACCTGGAGAAAGAAGTCTGTGAGCAAACATGAGAAGGCTATTTTCATGAATGATTCTCTGAGAAATGAGCTTGCATTGGTACCCTTTTAGCAGAAGGGATGCATAAAGGAGGCCGGTCAACCTCAGGGTCTCCCCACGTCCACTGCAATAGCTGAGTGGTGCCTGTGGAGGGTGGCCGTAGTGCCCAGCAAAGGCAGCAGCAGTGGCTGTGGGATCTAGGAGCGTCCTGCCTGGGGCCCAGGAGGGCAGCAAGGGCAGGGAGAGAGGGAAGCAGAGTGGAGACAGCACAGCAGACCCATGTGGGGAGCTGAATGATTTCATTCATGAGCAACTCAGAGAAACTCTCTGGAAACTTCCAAGAATATTCAGGGAAGAGTTGCCTGTGAAGGAGGAGTTTGCTGGGGGCTGAGACTCTGTGTCACAGGTAAGAATAAGAGCCTGGGGCTACAAACCTAATTTATTCAAAATGCCATGTGTTTAGACGTCCATTCTGTGATCTATAAAACCATGGCACAAGACATGATGAGTGATTGGGGTCTATACACCTGTTTCAGTCTGAGCAGCTCTGTTCCTTCTGTTCTTTCTCATGGGGCATCCATGTATGATTTCATTTGAGGATAGGATTCCTGGGCTAAAATCCCTGAGCACAGTGCTCTCCAAGGGCCCAGGCAGCACTAGGACCCACAGCTCTTCCTCTATGAATTGGGAAGCAATGGTGGACACTGTGGTGAGGTTTAAGAACACGGCTTCTTGGTGTTTCAAGGTAGTGGTCCAGGAAGGGTTTCCTAGAGGCTGAGCACTTCATACTTAAATAGCTCTGACTGCTGACGAAGTCCAATTCCGTGTAGATACCAAAGCCATCAGGACAGCTGTGGCAGTGTTTCGGGCAGGGAGAGGATCCTTGGGACAAGGGATGAAATCCCTGGAGAAAATGGAGGTGGGCACAGACCTTGCAGGCTATTTTGAGCCAGGAATTAAGAAGCTCTTGCCTACATTCCCAGTGAGCAGTGTTCACATTCAGGTCCCATCACCAGCTGGCCTTAGCAGCTCTCAGTGTCCCCAGGGAAGGAGGCCATCGCTAAACTAACCAGGACCCAAATAAGAGACCTCATTCTACCGTGATTGAAATGTTCCGAGTAATGGGATTTTGATTAAGTTAGTTATTCATCATGGAAGAGGTATTAGAGATAAATACCATACCTCATTGCTATTCTGAGCTGTCTACCAGTCATCTACTTTAAGGAGAAAAATAGAAGAATTAATGTGGCTCTGAACAGGGATCTGCTTAATGATTTCAAGGTTTTTATCTGGAGAGGATTTCAATAAACTACTTTAAGAGAAGTGGAATGCAAAAAAAAAAAAAAGAAAAAGAAATGCCAAGGGCCTGTATGACTGCTGAAAGGTGAGTTCTCTAAGGCTAGAAATCAATGAAAAGGGTGAATGTTACGGAAAGATTTTTAAGTACTTATTCAGGGGAAACTAAATAGAAAATCAATCAGGGAAATAAAAAATTCATAAATCCAGTTGCTTCTAATTGGCTCAGAACATAGTACAGAATTCAAAGTGTTTGCCTATGAGCAGCTCTGTCTCTTGAAATTATGACTCTTATCATAGGAAAGAGCATTTGGGTTACTTTTTTTTTTCTATCAAAGAAAATTCATCGGGCCAAAGCAATCCTGCAAATGGCTTAAGCTGAAGAACTCTTCATTATGGACAACCATGGAGAAATTCCTGCTAAAGATTTACTCAAGCTAGAAGGAACATATTTTCCTTTCAAGTCTTTAAACATGTATTAAGCCCCTACTATGTACACAGCATTTAACTGGACCCTGTGGGAGATGTACAGATTAATGAGCTGTGATGCCTGAGTATTCCCAACTTAGAAGGGGAAGCAGGCGAATGCCTAATTAACTTTAGGATAAGTACAAATGCAATAAGGGCTTAATAGTAGAGAGATCACTACACGGTATGGGAAAAACAAGGGGCATAGATGATTTCTGACTAAGGAGATCTGCAAAGGTTTCCTGGAGAAGGTGAAATCTATATCAAGGGGTTAGAAGATATTCCACCCAGAGAGAAGACTTGGAGCTAATGTCCAGTGGAAGTGTGAGCTAGGCTTGGGGAGTGCAGAATATTTTATAATAACTTAGAAGCGTTGGCACAAGGTAAAATCCTGAAGAACATGACAGTTATATTTAGCACCATAACATCTGCCTCTGTGTCTCAAACTTTGGTGGGAGCCCATAATTTATGTGCTGCCCTCATTTCTCTTGTTAGGATGAAAGCTTCCTGATAAACATATACACTCTTAAGTGTTACTGACTTAATAGTTGACCTCTTCCAAGGAGTATTTGCTTTTTAAAAAATTTTTATTATATATTTGTTTAAGGTATAAAAGAACTCAAGATATGGAATTATTCATGATTTAAATAGTAAGGACAAAACTTGAAGAAGTGTCTGGTCCCCTTTTCTTTATCATGAGCATTTTTCAATATTCCAAAGGTTGTTCAGTGTTTGTTTGTGGAAGAGGGCCACGAGGAAAGAACCACACCTTGTTCTAAAGTATTAACCTCTTCCTGGTGGAGGAATTTCAGGTATCAGTGTGAAGACTGTATTTTTTGGGGGGTGGTGGGGGGGAAGATTGACCAAAAAGGCCTCTGGGAGTTACCTTACTGTTGTGGGAGGGGCACGTATTTTAGAGACACCAAGTCCTGGTCTTAACTCCAACTCGGCCTCTTGGAGCATTGAGTCTGGGACAAGCTTCTCCACTTCTTGGAGACAAGACCTCCACGTGTGCAAGCTGGAGGTGATCACTGATCCTTTCCAAGCCAGACAGGAGCATATCATCCCCTCACATCATACCAGGAGGTGGCCTCTGATTTCACCTGAAAGCAAAATCTTTCCCAGTACAGACACATAAGGGTGAGGGGCTGTGAATGTTCCCAGAGCAGCTACAGTTTAGGCCGTGGGGGACCTCGTGCTCCCTAGCTCAGCAGGGCCTCATGGCCCTCTCCCACTACCCTACTGAACCCCACATCCCTCTCTTCCTAGTTGTTTCTCCTGGTTGGTCATCTTTCAGTTCTCAGAGGACAATTATTTCTTCCAGGAGGCTTTCTCTTGGCTTCCAGACCAGGTTGGATCCAATATATTCTCACTGTCACAGCCACTTCTAGTT